TGTTCTAAGGGATGGATTATGCAACGCACCAGCCACCTTTCAAAACTTCCTGCAGGATATGTTCCACGACCTGTTAGATGAAGGAGTGGTAGTTTACATAGACAACATCACGGTATACTCAGACACGATCGAAAACCATCAGATAATTGTCCAAAAGGTATTAGACCGATTACTTGAAAACGACTTGGTTGTTAGCCCGAGGAAGTGTGAATGGAGTTGCAACGAAGTAAAGTTTCTAGGGTATGTAATCGGACACGAAGGAATCGAAATGGATCAAGACAAGGTGAAAGCCATTCTAGAATGGGGAGAACCAATGACAGTCCGAGATACTCAGGTTTTTCTAGGATTCGCCAATTTCTATCGACGGTTCATCAAAGGATTCTCACATATTGTGGGTCCTCTTACCCGTCTGACCAGGAAGGATCAGGCTTGGAATTGGACAGAGGAATGTCAAAAAGCTTTTGAAAACTTGAAGAAAACTTTCACGACAGCACCGGTACTTCGACATTTCGACAGAACCCGACCAACCTGGATCGAAACCGATGGATCTGATTGTGCGATAGGTGCAATAGCGTCCCAAAGGTTCGCTCATCCATCGATAAAAGGGACCACGGAACTTCATCCGGTTGCGTATTGGTCTCGAGCAATGACACCCTGCGAATTAAACTACACAGTAGGAGAGAAAGAACTACTAGCCATTGTGGACTGCTTGGTAGCATGGAGACCATACTTGGCGAACAGTAGTGATGTCATAAAAGTCATTACGGATCACAAGAACCTGGAGTACTTCCAAAGTAAGCGACAACTGAATCGAAGACAAATGAGGTGGCTGGAAATATTAGGAGACTTCAACATAGAAATTACTTATTGACCAGGTAGCAAAAATGGGGGAGCAGATGCTTTAACAAGACGAGGGGATTATCACCCGGGAAGAGGGAGTAGTAAAGACCCAGACCTAAACAAAGGAAACTGGCTACAATTGCTACCAAAATACGAGGAACATGGATCGGATTCGAAAGACTCAGGAACCAGACACATAGTAAGAGGAGCAATCCGGGAAGACTCATTATTTGGACTCATCAAAAACGGACTCAACGACTCAGAAGACATAGCAAACATACGACGACTAGGACTACAATTGACACAGACACATAGCACACAGGACACACAGACACATAGCACACAGGATACACAGACACTTAGCAAACAGGACACACAGAAGACACAGATTAGCAACGAGACCTCAGTGGTATCATGGACACAAAGCGGATTGCTCTTGTACAAGAATAGAGTAGTCATACCAGAGGGACAAGCAAGATTAGAAGTAATGAGAGCAAGACACGATTCAATATTAGTAGGACACCCAGGAAGAGACAAAACCATCACTATGATCAAAGAGGACTATTATTGGCCCCATTTGGACGATTATATCGCAAAATATGTGAAAGGATGTGAGATCTGTAACCGACATAAGACTCATCGACACCAACCATACGGACATCTAGTCTCATTGCCAGTGCCCACACTTCCGTGGACAGATATCTCGATGGACATGGTAGGACCTTTGCCGAAATCGACAGAATTCGACGCAATTCTAGTAATAGTAGATCGATTAAGCAAGATGGCTCGATTTATTCCATGTACAACCGGATTGACAGCAAACAAGGTGGCTGACATATACATAAAAGAGATCTTCTCAAAGCATGGAATACCTCGAACAATCGTATCAGACAGAGGAACCCAGTTTACAGCGAGGTTTGGAAGGAAATATGTCAATTCCTGGGAATAAAAAACCTATATTCAACTGCATATCATCCTCAAACAGACGGCCAGACCGAACGAGTGAACCAACAAATGGAAATACTGCTTGGAATGTATGTGAACTACAACATGGACAATTGGGATCAACTTCTACCAATTGCTGAATTTGCTTATAACTGCTCCCCGCATAGCAGTCATGGGTTGTGTCCGTTCGAAGCATGTTATGGCTATGTGCCCCACTACGACATCCATTCGCACGATATTCGGTCGAAATCGAACAAACTAGAGAAGAAGTGGAAGGATATGGGAGAATTACATGCGACTGTTCAAGAGCAAGTCAGGATGGCCAACGAAATTAGTGGGGAATATTACAACAGGAGGCATAAGAGCATACCAGAAGAATTCAGAGAAGGAGAACAGGTGCTACTAAGTACGAAATACCTTACTACAGAAAGACCCAGTCGAAAATTAGAGGCAAAATATGTTGGCCCGTTTAAAATCATGAGGAAGGTCGGAAAAAATGCTTTTGAATTGGATCTACCTCCATCAATGAAGGTGCACAATGTCTTCAATGTGACGCTGTTGGAACCATATCCTAAGGACATGATACCAGGTCGACAGATACAACCCCCACCACCTGTAGTAATAAACGGCCAGGAGGAATTCCATGTGGAAGCAATTGTGGACAGCAGAATTCGACGAGGAAAGGAGGAATTCAAGGTGAAATGGTTAGGATACACTGGGAATGCGGCCTATGACTGGGAACCACGAGAAAATGTAGAAGAGTTGGCCGTTTTTGGTGAATTTCTGGAAAAGAGGAAAAAGGACCCCAGAAGAAAGTGAGAATTAGATCAAGATCAACAAGACTGGGTTGGAAATGAATGCATACACAGGAAATATAGCTACAAATGGAGGAATATAAACACACTAGTTGATGGAGACGTTAGAATTGGCTCGGGGACGACGGGCCGAAGCAGGAATACGAATGACATTGCGAGGAAGAGGAGTATGAGGAGAAGAGGAGGGACCGGTGACTGGTTGGGAGGAACTCAATCCAGTAGGATCACCAGAGGAGGTGAGATGATCCAAGGTTTCCGAGGGAGAAGGAGGAACATAGTTGGAAGGAATGAGATGGAGAGATTTGTAAAGACCCAGATGTACTGGGGGTAGAGGAAGAAGCAGGGAAGAGAAAAGATGGATGTAAGCAGAGAGTTGAGTGAGGGAAGAGGATTGATCCTGGGAGGAAAGAGATTGATATCGGGCCGAGACAGCACAGAGTTCGTGCTCCAGGACAAAGGTAACCTTGGAAGTGACAGTCTGGGCTCCGACAGTAATACCCTTTACATCAACATCGACCAAATTCGAAGGAAGAAGATAGATACCTCGCAAAATTTGGACTCGGGATTGTTGGTTTTCACCGAACACTTTGAGGTTCCCTTCGCGGAGCACTCTCCACAAACACCACCAACTGAGTTGCATCAATATCGCACAGGTAGAGAAGGAAGACTCACGAGGACCAATACAACCTACACGAAAATCTTCTCCGCCATCGAGACGACGCTGGCAATCGGAGCAAAGCTCACCCTCAAGACGGACAACAGCACCATTCTTGTTACGAAGTCGCCAACCTTGAGCCAAGCGATCAAGCTGACAGTTAGAACTCGGTGGAATACGAAGAAAAAAAGAGCTCACGGCGTTACCAAACCATTTGACAGTGGGCTTGATGGCGCCAGTCTCGCGAAAGCGATCGAGGGCTTCATCCTTCAGAGCGAGACGAACAGAGGAGAAAGAGAGGCGGGCCCAGAGAGTAGCTGACGAGTCAGAAACACACAGAATTCTATGGAGATCTTACCGATTTCCGAGTCTTTTCGAGCGTCCAGAGCCTTGGCAAGTTCATCATTGACCGGAACCCTGCGAGGGGCGTGAAAAATGGTTTCGAGTTCATGGGGAACCTCGACAAGCCCCTCTGAACAATCAGAAGGTGGCACAGGAGACTTATTACCAGGAGAATTTTGATTCTCGACGATGGTACCGTGTTCGGACTCGACAGATTTCGCAGGAGATAGGTTCTCACCAGTGGCAGATGGCCCTGCGCCACCTTCGAAGTCAAGGAATTGCTCCATGATGGCGTCATCAAGAGGAGGCGGTTGTTGAGCAGGACCGGGTTGGAATCGATCCTTAATGGCGTCTAGAGCCCTACGAGAAGCATCAACCAATGGAGGTTGAGAATGGGCTGGAGCTTGAGACGTGATTCTCATCCTTTTCGTTTGATGCATGAGAAGTTCGGGATCGACGTCGGGGAGAATGGCCACAGTAGAGGCCCGAGTTTGACGAGAAGAGGTAGAAGGGGACAACTATCTCGTCAGCCAGTGAGAAATGGGAGGATATACATCGAATTCGAAAGGAATTGCTTACAGTACGCTTAGACATGCTCACAGACAGGTCAGAGTTGGAAGGATGCGCTAAGATATAAGTAAGATATGGATGGATAATGATGGATAAGTGAAAAGAACGACGAACAAGAGCAAAAGAAGGAATGAGGAGGAAAGAAGAAGAGAGAGGCAGAAAGAGACTTGGTCAGTAATTCTCGATCACATTGGAGGTCCGTGCGGGTGACGCGTTTCATGGCAACCGTCACACTAGCGTGGGTGTGACGTCAGGGCGCACCAAAGGTGTCTCAGAGCAATCCATGTGAATCACCTGGTTACAGGATTCAGGATCCTCGGCGAGGATCCTTGAGACAGGGGGGGAAACTTGTTACGGAGTAACAACGAATCGAGAGAACTCCATCGAACTCGACGGATTAGGAAGGAAAACGGCGAGAGTTGGAGGCAGTGCTGCAGTAGGTAGGGACAGGTTTTCCCTTTTCGAGATTTCCCCACTGGGTTTGCTCAAAAGCGGTTTTTCACCTGTCCGAGTATGTACATGGACGCTTGCAGTAGGACTGAGAAGAGGAAACGGATACATGTAGACAAGTATATAGTACAATCAGCAAAGTACCAACTTTGCTGATTCTTCAATATCATTCTTTGGCTACACCAATTGCAGAGGAGACACGACCCATTAGCACCAGAGATACATAGATTTCCACGAGAGTTCCATCGACTTCGACCCAACCTGCGACTTAGTCATCGTGTTTCCAGTACCGTTACACTCGTCTCCCTGCTACTCCTTCGGCAGGTTCGTCTCGTCGCGCGCCTCGCCGTGGTCCTTCCGCCTCCCTCCAGCCTTCAACACCTATGGCTGGTCCATCTCGTCTCCCGGCTACCCCTTCTGCCGGTCCGTCTCGTCCCACCAGGAGCCGTCCTACTCCTGTGTCAGCTCAAGAGGGGTCTCCTCTAAGTCTCCCTCCTGCCCTCGGGACCCGAAGCCGTCAACCATCTGTTCCTCCTGCTTCTGGGCTCTCAACTCCTGCTCCTCCTGTGAAAACTCCTCCAAAATCTTCGAAAGGGAAAGGCAAGAAGAAGAAAGCTGTCCAGTTTGAACCGGCTGTGGTGGAAAACGAAAGTACTCAGCTACCAGAGGAAATCCCTCCCGCCCTCGACCATCCCACTATCGCTTTCGACCCTCGGATACCAGAGGAAGACAAACAGCTAGCCACCTTTCGTTCCGTCATTATTGGCTTAACCACGCAATTACAAGCCAATAGACGAGATACAGCGAAGCTCGTCGAATATTGCATGAAGCTGGTCTCCGCGATGAATACTCTCTCTCGGACAATGGCAACCCTTGTGAACTCCTCCGACATAGGGCCATTAGGTCGAACTGAGTTAGCTAGAGTTTCCCGAGAGCTCACAACGGACATGAGCGACTTCTACCGTAATCTCTTCGACTCTCCCTACCTCCTGAACCCCACTGAGTATATGCTCCCCCCTACACTGGACTGGTTAAAACCATCTCAACCAGCTCGACTCAGTTCTCAGGATGGTGCTTTCCTCGATATCCTGACTCTTCCCCCGGACTGTCTCCGAACACTTCGTCAGTTGTGGAAGTTACCCAGTCTGAACCTTGCTCGTGATCCTGCCCTCCACGCTGCTCACATTCTGGCCTTTAACACGGCATGGAGGGAGACTCGGTCACTTCGACGGATAGTACCAGCGAAGGGTACAGAGAATAGCTCTGGAGGTGGTCCTGCACCGGGGAACGGGGAACAGGGAGGAAGTTCGCAGCAGTGAGTTGTACTTAGCTAACGTTGTACCCGTTGTATGAATTACTTCCTCGCCCGTGATCTTGCCGCTCGTCCTTTCTTCGGTTTATCAGGGTGAAGTTCGTGGAACTTCGCCAATATGTCATCAGCTCCGTCCACATTCTCTACTGGTTCCCAGGATACTGCATCATCAGAGCCCTCATAGCCTAACCATTCCACTAGATACTCTAGCTTCCCTGACCTCTTGTTTACTCTCGAATCCACAATATCCTTTACTTCCCATGATTCTCCTACGTTATCTACCTCCACTGGGCCAGGTGGTTCAGCTTGCTGACCAGGAAAAACTGGAGGGTGATATGGACGAAGCAGGGAGACATGGAATACATCATGGATACCTGCCATCGTTCCTGGTAATTCCAATTTACAAGCATGAGAACCTACCTGCCGTACTACCTTGTACGGCCCACTTTGCTTAACATCCAACTTCTTCATTGGTCTCTTTGTCTTGATATTCTCTAAGGACAACATAACTAGGTCACCTTCCACGAAGTTCGGCGTAGTTCGGTGTTTCCTATTGTACCCTTCGGCGTACTTCTCATTAGCTTTCTCAATCCCTTCGATACATTCCTCATGTATCTCAGTTAGGTCCTTTACTACTATCGTAGCAGCAGGTACTTCGACTTCACTAGCCTTGATCTCTTCAGCCCACCGAGGGTGGTACCCATAGTTTGCATAGAATGGAGTCTTGTTTATCGCAGAGTGATGGGTGTTGTTATAAGCAAAGCTGGCTCGAGCAAGTAGTTTTGACCAGTCATTCTGCTGATAGGAAGTGAAGATTCGAAGATACCACTCCAGGGATTGATTTGTTTTCTCTGTCTGTCCATCAGTCTGTGGGAGATACGCAGTGGAGAGATGTAGTCTTATCCCGAGACTATCGGTTAAGTTCTTCCAAAACTTCGAAGTGAACTTCGATCCCCTGTCTGACACTATGTTCTCCGGTAGCCCATGCTGAGCTACTACATAGTCCATTATCAGCCCTGATAGCCCAGCTGCGGTTAACCTCGTCATAGTTGGGATAAAAATGGCCCATTTGGTCGAACGATCCACCACTACCAAGATCGAGTTATACCCGTTGGAATTTGGAATCTCTTCGATAAAATCCATCGAGATGCTTGACCAGGGTTTAGTAGCCACTTGCAATGGTTTAAGCTCTCCATGAGGTTTCTGTCTACTAGTCTTTGCTCTCTGACATACCACACAGCCAGCGATGTAGTCCTCAACATCCTTTCTCACTCCAACCCAAACATAGTCCCTTAGGATTAGTTCAAGTGTCTTCGCCGAACCTGGGTGACCAGCCAGGGCCAAGTCGTGTCGCATCTTCATGATCTTTAATCGAGCGTCGGCGTAGTTTGGCACATAGATGTGATTGTCGAATGCGAGGAAACCTCTTGGGCTCCATCCCCCACGAAGTATGAGAGGAGACTGTGAACTACGGCGTAGTTCGGTGATTGATTCCGGCTCCTGCACGTCATCGTGACACGTTGGATGAGAACACTTAGCACAAATGACTGCTAATAGTTCTTCTCTAACCCCTCCTATGTCTTCGTCCTCCTGAACTCCAAGTATCAGATCCGTAGGGTCCACAAGATCATTTTCCTTTACCTCCCTTGTCCCTTGCAATGCTCGAAGGAGGTGACGCAACTCTGACGTGGTGGCGTCAACTTTGTCGAACTTCGGCAGACCTTGAATAAGGTTACTCTCTTGTACCATGGTACTTCCTTTCCCGGAATGATAGTCCGCCCGTCTAGATAATCCATCTGGAAGACTTGCCTGGGTTCCTGGTCAATAAACCATTTTAAACCTGAAGTTAGCTAGCTCCTCTACCCACCTACCTTGACGAGGACTGAGTTGTTTCGGTTCCATCCAGTAGGTAAGGTTTAGATGGTCAGTAAGGACTGTGGTTTCTACCTGCAGTAGTAAGTGTCTCCTTCTTCTGAAACCCTCCACTACAGCGAGGAACTCCTTTTCTCCTACCGTATAATTCAGCTGAGCTGTGTTGAAGGCGCCAGACTCAATAGCTACCGGGTGTTCTTGACCAGCCGTGTTGATCTGCGAAATTATGAACCCCCAGCCGAAGAACGACGCATCTGTCTGTATTATTGTCTTCAATGTAGGGTCAAAATGGGCTAACACCGGCGCAGTACACATCCTAGCCTTCAACTCTTTGAAGGCTGACTCCTGTTTGACTCCCCATACAAATGGTACCTCCTTCCTTGTCAAGTCATTGATAGGTCTAGCAATCTTCGAGAAGTTGGGGACAAAGCGCCTGTAATAGCTTACAACTCCAATGAATCCCCTTGACTCTCGTAGATTCTTAGGACATGGGAAGGAAGTGATGGCGTCAATGTACTCTGGGTTCACCGATACACCTTTAGAGGATACCACAAAACCCAGAAACACCACCGAATCTCTTTCGAACTCGCACTTACTAGCTTTCACGTACAAGCTCGCCTTCCGCAGTACTTCAAAGACCTTCGCCGTAGTTCCTCGTAATTCCTCCAATGTATTCCCATAAATGAGGATATCGTCAATGTAGACCACGACTCCATTCCCTAGTAGTTCTCTAAACACCTCATTTAGGAAGTGTTGGAAGACAGCGGGGGCGTTTCGTAGCCCATCACAAACAACCAGAGATTCGAACATACCATACTGTGTCCTGAACGCCGTCAGGTGTTCATGTCCCTCTGTCACCCTCAACAATTGGTATGCTCCAATTAGATCTAATTTGCTGAAGTACCTTGCTTTTCCAAGTTCTTCAGTAATTTGACCTATTAAAGGGAGAGGGTAGGCATCTGGTATGGTCGCTTCGTTCAGTTTTCGATAGTCGATGACCATTCGCCATTGTCCTTCGGCTTTCTTCGGTATCATAAACATCGGTGAGCCGTACGGCGAGTTACTTGCTCGAATTCGGCCAGCGGCGATTTCACAATCTAGTATGTCTCTCAGCGCGCGTCTCTGATCTTCTCCTTGAGCATAGAGGGAGGCGACCTTAAGGTTGGCCCCCTCCTTAAGCTCAAACTTCAAATCGTAGGATCTTGAAGGGGGAAGGGTCTCTCCTCCCTTCTTCGGATTAAACACATCAATGTACTGGTGGTATTGTTCAGGAACTACCTGGAACAACTCGTCTTGTTCCTCCGGGCTCAGCTCTTCAAGCTCATCTTCGCCGCGGAGGTCTGTCTCGTCGGTTCGAGTCCTGAGCCCTATGGCTGCCAGGCTCGCAACATCTTTCGTCTGTGGAAGGGGAGAGGATAACTCCTCTCTTTCACTCGGCAAGGGTAGGGGAAAGGATACTGTGCTTTCCACATTGGTAGGGAAGGATATCACATTCGCTCCCCCATTCAGGATTACTCTCTCTTCCCTCATCCATTCCCACCCTATCACGACATCCGCGTCACAAAGGGCGGTAACATCCAGCTTAATTGGGCAAACTTCGCCTAACTTCTCAACACCCAGACTCACTTCGGCAAACTCCGTAATGGGACCAGCCACACTAACCGAGCCATCAAACATATGAACTGGTACACTCACGGGGTATTTCCTCCTCTCCTTCCTAATCTTCCTGACCGCCTTGGGACTTATATATGAACAGGTTGCCCCAGTGTCCCACAGGGCCGTTAGTTCGATTCCTTCGACATACACGTTAGATTTGGGTTGGTTGTTACAGGTGGAAGGGATTAGGGTATGACAGTCGTTTATACATTTCGGAGTGGTGTTTACGGATTTATATACACATTTACCTGGTCTCATCAGCTCTTTCCTTTTACTGGGGGTAGGGACAGTGGCCGAGAGAATATGAGTGCGGACCCGCCGAGTCTCGCCTATCGCGACGGGTCCCCATCTTTTTCCTCCTCGTCCATCCCCCGCTCTCCAACACATGCTTCTTCCCCTCCGACTGCATTGATCTTCTTCCTGTCCCCAAGAGGGACGGCGTTTCCTCTCGTGCTAAATCTCCCTTCTCCTCCAGCATTTTGTCCAAAAGATCTCAAGGGGATGATCCCGGCTTTTACCTTCGCCGCTATTACAGGACAATCCCGGTTGTAATGCCCTCTCTCTCCACACCCAGTACACTTCCCTTCCTCCCGACGCTTTAAAACCTCATCAGCACTGGGTCTCGGCCAACGATGATTTAGTTCGTCCACATCCGTTGGTATTGCCCTTCCCCCGTTCGTGCCCTTCGGTTGCGCGCCCTCGAACTTCGGCGTAGATTGCCATTTCTCCTCGCTCCTCCGTTCCCCTCCCCGATTTACCTCCTCTTTCTTCTCCCCCTGGTCCTTTGTTTCCTTCCTCTTCTTCTCATTCTCCTTCTCCACCCTTCGCTGATGCAAGCGATTGTCCATGGGGACCACAAACTCAATCAACTCGCGGACAGTCTTGAAGACCTTTCCTTGCCGAGCGATTTCATCCAGCAAGTGACTTTTCAGTCCATTCTTTGCCCGGTCCACAAGGTTCCCATCATCGCCCCATCCTAACACCGCTACATATCGCTGAAAGGCGGCGAAGTACGCCGAAGCCGACCCATTCTGTCGAAGCTCGTTTATTCCCCTAGCGGCGGTTCCCTCCTCATCGGGGTCTCCGAAGTTGGTCTTGAGATATTGGATGAACTTCTTATAGTCTAGAAGGTGTTTGGGGGGGTCGTCTTTAGGCAAATCCGGTTGGACGGCGAGAAGAGGAGTTTCGCGTAGGTGAGAGATCAAGAAAAAGATTTTTACTCGGTCCGTGGGGAACTTGCGGGCGTTGATTTCGAAGTGAACTTCACATTCCGAGATGCAGGCGGTGAGCTTTGACCTCTCGCCTCTCCAAAGGTCTGGGAGAGGAAGTTTTATCCCTCCTCCTATTTCAGCCACCCCTGGGGTCGCCGAAGCTTGCCTCCCCATGGCGAATCGTACCCCTTCAGAGATCCCTTCAACTATTCCCCCAACCGTCTCCTGTTCCTTCTTCTTCTCCTGTTCCTCTCGGCGTCTCCTCTCCGCTATCATATCCCCGTTCATCTCCATCATCATGTTCATCATTGCCAGCATCATTTTCTGAGTC